CGATGCCATATGGGCAGTGTGGAGTCTCGAAAAGAGCCAGTCGGACGCCGAGTAGCGAATGACAGGCACGTACCTGGTATGCTACGTTACTGGGGCCCGAAGAGCAAGTGCCACCAAGACCCCCAACGCCGGATACCGCAGATACCGCTACGGAGTTTGAAGTTGAGACTACAACACCAGCCCCTGTGCACCCTGTGTTGCCATGACAGGCAGATCCGGTTGCATCACCGGCTGCTGTGGATGAGCTACCTATGCCAGGAATCGAGGCGGTGCTTGCTGAGCTAGTGGCTCCAGTGCCTCCAGCACCAGCAGTCGAGTTGTTGCTGCCGGCAGTTGATAGAGAATTAGTGGTCTTGCGGATGCGTTTCTGTACTGACTTGGTTACTAGAAGAAGGTCATTGAATAGGAAGACTTCGCGCTGATGTGCGCCCTGACGTTCACGCTTGTTCTTATCCATTACCTAAAAATAAAAAAAGTGTAAATATTAAATATTTTAGGCTTTGCTTCTTAACTAATTGTTCATTAATGCTGTTTGGTTATGAGTTTGGTGGGTGTGTGAATGAAACTGCTGTACAAGTCCGGACACCGGAAGCTCCTGGCTAAGAGAAATACTTATAACGGGCAGATTGGCGGTGGCGGTATGTAAGAGGTTGAATCCACAGAGGCGAGAGCAAGGCGAATGTGTCTGTAAGCTACGTATACATACCGATTTAAAACTGTGCAGGTGCTTTTGGAAAATGTCAAGAAAATTATTATTTGAATAGAAGTTGGTGTAAGTGTTAGATAACTATATAAGGCTATAAGTGGATGAGAATACGACAGAAACAAGAATAAGAATATGATGGTATAAAACGTTAATTATGCTAGCCAAACGTAAGATAAAAGGGGCTGTCGAAAATATGAGATCAGGAAATGCGCTGTGTAAGGAATGGAGCTAAGAAGGTGGACAACAATTACATGTTCTTTATTAAGGAATTATTCGTTACGACAAGGAGAACGCGTCGGCTTGTTGACGGCTTTATAATATTCATTTTCGTTTCACACATCTGTAAAGCCCATCAACTTAACCAGTGATACATTTGAGATTAAGCATTCCCGGTCATGCTGTTACTTGAGGCTTGACTTGATCTGGACTGATGATATGCTCTGGCGTGATTGCTCGGACACAAACATAAAAGTAACTATATAGGAGATGTATTCAACCCATTTCGTTTGAGGTAATGAAGAAGTAGGCCTACTCATATAGTGGTAAAATTCAACTACCAGTCCTTCTGCACCTTAAACGCGATAAGCCGGATACAGCTCTTATACAAAATCCACTGGTAGTTTCGAAACTTACTTAAAACGATAATAATAGCTGCGGTCACCTCAGGAGAGATAAAAAGACTAATAATTTAAGTCAAACTAAGAATTGAATGTTTAATTTTCACGAAATTATATGAACAGGTCACACGATGCAAATAGATTCCACTTAGTCTTGCCTTCTAAAAAGTATTGTTCTGGGTGGACTGTTGTTTCGATCTCACAATGATCTCCCCAGCACTGCCAAAGAGAAGCGAACCCGGCGAGTACAGTATATATTTTCTGTGTTACTATCTTAACCGACTATAAGGTAGATCACAGGCGTTAATAAGTTTCAATACCAGCCAGGCCTGCCACTACATTTTTAGAAAGATTGTCGATAAAAGACATCCTAATCGATTACCATTAAACATTTACTAATAGTTAGTAGACCTAAGAGATTGGTCTATTATTCATATAATGTTCAAGACTCACTGATAGTCCACAATGTTACTAACTATAAATATAAGTAAATTGGTTTATTCTAATGGGAAAATAGAAAAAAATCGGTAAAGCCATTAAAAATGTGATTGCGATTGGCTTGCTCTGAGAGTCATATCTGTCCTGTGACTCACTGAAACCCGTCGTGAAATGTGGAAATATACACTGCATTACCAGGGTTAGCTTCCCGATGAGGATGCTAATAAGAGTTTGGCCGAAACTACAGTCCATCCTGGGGTAGAATGTCCTTAGGGAGGCAAGGCTAAGTGAAATGTAATGCTATCGTGGAGCCTAGTCATATGATAGTGCATAAGTTCAAATAAGTCCTTCAACACCTTATATGATTGCAACTCTCACTCGAGGTTTTACCGTTAGTATCTAAACCTAATAAATTTCAATATGAAGGAACTTAGATTAAAATGAAAAGAAGATAACAATACTTTCCATAGAACTTGTTTTCACAACTTGGCCATGCTGTCAAGGGGATTTAGAGGAATGCATATTGTCCGTACCCCATAGTATGCATGATACTTTCGGACTGTGGACTTAGAAAATCCCGAGACGTTTCATCGCCGTCGTCAATGAACCTTGGTATTCTTAACACCAGACTACAACTCGTCAAAGAAACAAGTAAGTCGATCTTTTAACCATTTGTCTGCTAAACAGTTGTTGGTATCTCTCCTGCCCTGGTGCATTCACCTATCCTATATCCTCGTAACACCCTTTCACCACCACAATTTCTTGTTTACCTAAACCTAATTCAGATCTGTCCTTTTAAGCGAATTTAATGAGGCCTATCCATACTCCCCGATATTTCCCTCATTTCCCCCACTGTACTGGTGGTGCTGATCCAGGTCTGCCCTTATAGTCCACAAGCCTTTCCACCCGGTTCCTATCAGAATCTACCTCTTACTCCATAGGATCCGTCTCTTATCCTCCTGGTTAAGTGATTTCTCTTGATTACTGCCACCATATCCATGCTACTCGAGATGTTATGTTCAACACTTCGCATCAAGCCCTTGACAGCACGTATACGCCAGCTTCATTGAGCAAGTCCCTAAGGTATGGATTCAAAAGTGGCATCGAAAGCTAGCTTAATGCTGCATATTACATTAAAACAGTTCCGCATATGCACCGGGCAAATCTCGTGGTCAAGCCTTTACTTCACGGACTACGTCTATGATAAAACTCATCTACTTATGACAACTATCTATGATTACCGCCGCATCTTTCTCTCTTCTATGACTTTCTTATGCCCTAGTCTCTTGTGTGTCGACCCCCAAATGTGATATATATATATATAATTGATTTGAGTAAGCTCATTGTAAATGTCTCCTCTTGGCTTCCGATTGTTTCTTTGTGATCTCCTTGCAATTGCTTTTCATCAAATTGAAAACATTCCCTTGATCTGGTCGTGAATAGGTCAAAGGAACGACTTCACTTGTCTCTTTGACGGGTTGTACTGTGGTGCTCAGACTGGTAAAATTCGATGACGATGCCAGTGAAACGTCTGGGAATGTAGT